TCATCGTTGCTCGTCCCCGTTATTTCCTGCCCTCGTCTGAGATTGTCAAACAGCCGTCTGTCGATGGCTCCTGCGGTCTGCAGTGCGCAGGTGCACATCTGCTACTGCCAAGAAGCTCAAGACACTCCAGAGCCGCACAGTGCCGCGTTTCCCACATGTCTGTTCGCACCGCCAAACCTTGTGAGCATTGCACTCTATTTTGTGCACCAGCCTTCCCCCTCAAACCCCAGCCCTCAGACGGACTTGCCCGGCCAGGAATCCAGGCCAAGGGTCCCCCCCTCTCCCCTTGTAGCAAAGGGACGGATGATTTGTCCCGCACTGCGACCGCTCGTCTTGTTTGCGTCGTCTGTCCAAACAGGACCAGCTTCGTTCCGGTGCCGACCCCTGCACTCTGACGTCGTTGGGGTTGCTCCTTTCCCAGACGGCTTGTGTTATGTGCCACCTGCCTTCCTGCCTTCCTGCCTTCCCAATGCTGTAACACATTCGATGTATTGAGAACATGTACGAACCATCTGACCTGCCACCTGAACTTGCATTCCTTTTCCAAAAGGGTATGTGCGTTATCACATTCCTTTCGTCTGTACAATTTACGATGAGATGGATTCTTTGTGCCGTCTGTGTGGCGTTTTACGACAGGACGGGTTCTATTTTCAGCTTGTCTCGTGTCTTGTCGTTTTTCTGTCTCTCTGCCCGTCTCTGAGACACCACGGGCATCTGTTGAACCCGCCAACCCGTGCCTGCCTCACGGGGACGTCGTCCTCGCTCATTCCTCATGGGACAGAATCGACACACAAGTTGACCCGTTGCACTTTCCCTTTTGATGCTGTTTTTCTCTTGTACACCAACAGGCCTCTCCCTCTGATCGTACTTAGAGTGGGGTCGTTGCGGACGGGTATGGAAAGGGAAGCGTCGATCATAGGAGATTAGCCTTTGTTTCTGGCATGCCCCAGTCGACTCAGAACTGTCCCCCCCCCTTCCCCCTTCTCCAATTTGGAGGACACGGCGTCCTCCGTCTCCCCTTGTCACACGTTCTCTGCGTTTCCCTTACCCTCCCGCCATTTCGACCCAACTTTTGGGCACACACCACACACCCCCGAGACAACGCAGCCTTTCCAGTTGGCGTTTTCCTTTTCTTATTTTGCTTTGCATTTCGCATTTTTCCGACGAGAAACGTGCAGCACGGAAACGGTACACGCCGAAACAGCCCTGTCAGACGTCAGACGTGGGCTCAAATTCTTTCTTGGCTTTGCTTGTCCCTCCCAGTCACTTGTACAGCGGAATGCCGGCCGCCATTTCGTCCTTCTTCATCGGATTCTTTTTTGTTGATGTGTCGCACGCAGTAGCGCAATGCACAGCGCATCAGTCTTGTTTCGCCTGGCACCAATCGTGATGCGACCGGACGACTTGTGCGACTTGGCGAAAAAGGTCATTCACCGTCTCTTCCCCCCCTTCCCCCACTCTCGCTACAATAGACGGATCGATCTGTCCTGTCCCAGAATGCTATTGGTTCCGTGCAAGGCGCTTGTGGCATGAACAGCGTCCTGTCACGCAGGTATGTCAAATACGTTTGTACACGTACGTCGTTCTCTCGGTGCAAATGCCAAAAACAGTACGACATACGCAGCCCTTCGTGCAATATATGCTGGATCCAGTCCAGTGGTGAGTGGGTAGCGTTAGCTTCATTGGTCTCGTGGCTTTCCAAATTTCGCGGCGCCGGCGCCATTTGGCCTTGCTGGCAGCCGGCAGGCAAGCGGCAAACAAAGTAAGATACGAAATACAGTAGCAGGTTATGGCTGACTACTCCACCATACAATAGCATACATATCCGCGGAAGCGACGCAGAATTCGCCTGCGCTTCCCGCTCACATCCAACGCTCATCTCAGCAGTCTTTGTCCACTGCTGACCTGTCGCCGTCGATCACGGTTGACGAATGTCTAACTGGTTTTGGTGCACCACGTCAAGACGACATACTGGTCCCTGGCTCTAAAACTGCCGAGCACCCGAGTGGCAATGGCAAGAATAGGACAATGGTGACAACACTTTGCATCAGAATTACAAAAGGGCCAAAATGCAAAGGGTCGTCTGGGCTGGCAGGTCCGGGGGAAGACGACGAGGGAAGCAAAACTGATGGGGAAAACACGAAAAAATAAAAGTGCACAATTGAGGACCAAGGCCAGGAAAAAAGAGTACGAGTCACGGGCCAAAACGATCAAGATCTGACAATCGCCACAGATCAAAAAGTGTTCTGGAACAATGAAAAAAGAGGGAACATGCCCAGCGTCGCCCAGCGTCGCCCAGCGTCGCCCAGAACCGCCCAGAGGCACACACAGAAACATGAAAACGTATCCCGAAACTGCTTTGCAAAGACAACCTGGGGCAACAAGAGCCGCACGGCATAAGATCCGCCTGACAATCCGGTCACAGCCTTGACGCGGTGGTGGCCTCACTTACTGCTGCTGTGTACTCTCGCAGTCTCTTTTTTGAAACTATTTTTGTGCGTTCCCATCTGTTCGAACGGCCGTCTCAAGTTTGCACATCCGTTCTCCGTTCGATGTCAAAGGGGGTTTTGCTTTTTTTGGGCTGTTTGGGAACAGGGGAGCAGGAGACCATGAGAACAGGGGGCAGAACGAACAGGGGTGTGGAGAGTGGGGGCGTGCGCGTGTGCAGCTTTGTGTGCCGGCCGAGTGTACGAGCTGCAGTGTACGAGCACTCACTGTACGACGCATTGCTACCCCGTATTCTGTAGCACACGTAAGGCGACGTACCCTTTGTGCGACACCCCGCACAAAAAGTACTCTTACATGTCGTTTGCAGACAGCCGACGAGAGAAACGGCCATGGCCATGGTCCGTGACGTTGCGACCAGGATAGCAATGACGGCAGACGTCTGTCGACACTTTACCATCGCATCTTCAGCATCTTCATCCGACAAGAGATAGGACGTAACAAAAACCACAACAGAAGATACATGTGATGGAACGAGGTTTGGGAGCAGGCGCCAGCAAACGATGAACCAACTCGCCGTCTTCGTACAGCGGGTCAAGACGCCCGCCTTGGCATGTCTCCCTGGTCTGGCTGGCTTTATGAATGTACTCTGTAGTGTAAATAGTGCAAATAGTGTATGTAGTGCTGAAGAACCACGGAATTGCAGGGCAAGAGAAAGGCGACAAGGCGCATAAAAAGCAAAGAGCCCAATCGTCGCCCATCATAAAGGTACAAAGAATAGAAAAGAAAGAACAGAATAACTGGAGAATTTCCCGAAACACGCTCCCGGACCAAAACCGCCTCCGGAGCCTTACAAGTACAGAGATGTAAGATACATGCATCTTGGCCATCGCACCTTTTTCACCGATTACCGTGGGAATGGTTTTGGCTAGTTGCTAGTGCTCTCAACCGGTTCGCCGGTCACAACGTCCGCCTTTGTCTTTGTCGTCTTCACCATCTGCCTCGTGGTCACCCGCCCTGCCCCTTCGTATCGGTTATGCACTGGTAGACGCTACGGGCCAAAGGCTCTCGCCACCGTGTGCTTCATCCCATTATGCAGCTTACGGCATCGTCCTTCGTCCTTCGTACATCTGCCGTGTACGCCATGCACCATCGTATTCGACCGTCTGTCGTCGACTGCCTGGCCGGCTGCCTGGCTTGGTCCTGCATGTCGCTCCTGCGAGTTGGCATGGATAGGCTCATGCCCGCCTCCGTAAACCACCTCATGTTTCTGGATCGAGCGGCCCCCGGTGGCAGATGCCAGTGGCGCGTTTCCGAGAAATGCTCGAGCGCAGCTTCCCTCGCAACTGCCCAGGCTCCTTCCTGCTCCGAGCGCACAATGTGCAAAACTGCAAACCTGCAAAACAGAAAGGCAGCAGAACGAGGACGGCGCAGGAAAGAGCATACGGTGGGCGCGCCTGCATACTTTTGCTTCTACCTTCCTCTCTGCCGGATGTCAATGCATCCTTCGTCTCTTGCTCTCCTGCAACCCTTCTTTTCGCCTTCTCTGCTTCTGCATCCTGTTCTCCAGTTTCTTGCTCTTGATCGGCACCTGGGTTCGCCCTTTTCTCCCCCTCCCTTCCTGCAGAAAGTCTTCAAAGAGAGAGCCTCCAAAAAGAGCACACCCCTCCTCTGCCAATGGCAACACCTCACACCCCCCCAAGGGGCGCTCTCGGGTCAGGCCTACACATTTTTTGTGACAGATGGGCTCCGTTGGACGCACATCGCCTAGGGGATCAACGGTGTGGATTTTTTTTTTTGGAGAAGGGGTGGGGGGGGCGTGTACGCACTGAGGCACTGCAGCACAAACGTCTTCGACTAGCGGCCTGCTTTGACCACCAGAAAGGGATCTGATGAAATAACGCACAACTGGAGACTGGCGTTCGCCCCAGTTCCACCAGCTAGCTCCCAGAAAAGAACGGTCCGGTGCTAAAGACATCCCAGGCGACGACAGACCCCCTGGAGAATGGAGACGGAGTGCCACCTGGTCCCTGCACTGACCAGTGTCAAGCGTACTCGCTTGCTGTCGTCCTTGCTCTACCTGGTCCAACACCACGCAATGTTGGTCCTAACGCCTTGCCTTGTGCTTTCTACCTTGTTGTTCGTCGACTCCCGATTGTCGATGCAAGCTTATAAGATTCCCGCCCCTCCCCTCCACTTCTTCTTGTTTTCTTTGCTCTCCTCCTCTTCTTTTTTTCCTTTGTTTTTTTCTTTTATATTCTTACAATCATTCTTACATCTTTCTGTAATCTCGATCTTCAGAACAACTTCACAACAGCAAGACATACATTGCAACAACATCCCAGCTGGTTCTTGGTTGAATATTTATTGACTGTCCTCGACATACTCGACCCGAACTCTTACTCTAATTCTCGCCATCTTTGACATTCACCACCTTCACTACACGTCAAAATAATATTCTTCACCACATCCGTCTTTCCTACTACATAACTTGACAACTTCACCATAATACCCTAATACCTATTTCTCCCATTTCTCCTTCACATCCGCACAACATGGCAGCCGGTCTGTTGTCAAACCCCTACGCCGGGCAGGCCAGCCTCTCGCAGCACGTTTCCCACGTCTCGCAATATGCCACATACCCCAGCCAGCAAATGCAGCAGCAGCAGCAGCAGCCACAACAACAACAACCACACGGCCCTCCCTCGCCTCCCATGGACGACAACAAGTGCTCGCTGCCCTCAATCTCCAACCTGCTGGACCTGGCCGACCAGGGCTCGCCCACCTCCGAGACGTCTCCCCAGTCCCAGCAGATGCAGCAGCAGTCTTCACAACAACATCTGCAGCAGCAGGTCCTGCAGCAGGAGTTCTCTTTCAATGGTGAGCATTTGCCTGGGCTCGCCCCGTTGCCTGTTTCTGTGACGAGCAGCCATCTAACTGTTTTGCCAGCCTCCTCTCGGCCAAGCACCCGGCCCAATTCATCCCACTACTCTAGCAACCCCATGAGCCTGCGGGGCGGCGTTCTGCCGCCCACGCCGCCCATGATGTCCGAGGCCAGCTTTGGCACCGGCTACGACTCTCCCTCGACCAAGTCCGTCAACCAGCTGCCGCACTCCGTGGCCGCCGCCGCCATTGCCGCTGCCGCCGCCACAAACAACTACTACTTTGAGGCAACACCGCCGCCGCAGCAGCCCTACAGCCACGAGTCTGCAACGTCTGAGCCGCGGCACGCCTCGCAACCGCCCAGCTCCCACCCGCAACAGTACCAGTCGCCGTCCCAGTCGCAGTCGCAGGCGCAACAATCACAACAACCCCAGATCCACCACCAGCCGCAGCCGCAGCGCAGCATCTCGATGCACGCGACGACGACCTATGGTGCTCCCGCCTACCCCACCCAGGCTTCTTACTTGAGCCAAACGCCCGCCGCCGCCGCCATCTACTACCCGGCCATGCAGCAGCCAACACCGCCGCCACAGCAGTCGGTCCAGGCACCACAGGCACAGCAGCTTTCGGGCCTCTACTACCAGCGTCCTCTGCCGCAGGTCGGCGCCAGCACATTTCCGCCGATGCACCACGCACACCACCACCCGCACCACCAGCCGTCGCCGTGGCAGCACCACCACTACATCTCTCCCTCGGCCGCCGCCGCCTTCCCGCAGTCGCAGGACCGCTACATCTGCCCAACGTGCAACAAGGCCTTCTCTCGCCCAAGCTCCCTGCGGATCCACAGCCACTCGCACACCGGCGAGAAGCCCTTCAAGTGCCCACACCAGGGCTGCGGCAAGGCCTTTAGTGTGCGCAGCAATATGAAGCGTCACGAGCGCGGCTGCCACAACTTTGACAGTGGAAACTAAAACTCCCTGCTCTCCCTTTCGCCTCTTGTCATACTTTTCTAGTGTCATTTTCTGTGCGATCTGCTTTTTGTTTTCTGCAAGCGTTTCTTTACAGCTGTCTACTGGGTTTCCTATTTGGAGGAATAAAACCGGGACCGGGTTTCTTTCATCTTGTTTTTAGAACTAAATCTCGTTTTTACGGGCTTTCTTATATTGCCACGCGTTGGGTTGGGGCGCACCTGGGTTGGATTGGGTTAACCATTTTTACGGATACAAATCTAGGCTGATGTTTTTGTACACAATTGGGACCGGGAAAAATGCAAAGAAGAAGATTTTGCGTCTTACACGGCCTTTCCTCGCTATGTGTTTTTATTTTATTTGTCTCGTCATTACCACCATTGGAGTTTGCGTATTCTTCGAAAAGATGGTCCATTTTGGGAATCGGCGCTCAATGGCTTTTTGGGAGCTGTCCTTGCTATAGAAAAGAAAGAGAAGGGGTCTTTTTTCCAGCGTTTACCAGTACAATACCACACTTGCATTTACTGTGAACTGTTTCCAAATTCGAGAAGTCTATATTATTGTGTGAGACGCATTACGAGCAGAACAATATAACGTAACCCTCTAAAAAAAGACGAGCATTCGCAATCCGTTCTGGTTGAAAAACCCTCGTAAAACGCTTGTATCCTACATGTAGCATTCATGTGTCCAGACCCTTGGTGTTCCAAAACAAGCGAAAACACGGGGAAGAACGAGAAGACCAACTTTTTATTTTGTGTCTTGCTTCCTCATAGGCGCAAAGAGCTCCGTGATGAAGCTGGACCGTCAGCCGGATGCTCTATCCCTTCGTTGTTGCCTCCTAAAATCAATCATGTGTTCCCCGCGGAAGTTGCGACCGACTGTTGGGGAGGTGAGGGCTACTCCTTCCTCCCCAAAGGGATGCCCGATTGGGATGAAAAGTGACGAGCTTTTGGTCCATCGTCGAGAAGTGACCGCGTAAAGACAAATTACGATAATTCTGGGACATGATGTTCCCATCACGCATACGACATATAACATGGTCATGAACCGTGCATAAAATATTATTTTTTACGGAGGCCTTTTATCATGGCTTTCGTTCCGATTTCCTCGTGGCCGGCCTAATCTCCAAGATTGGATATGATACACATTCGATCTCGATCGTTCTTTATTGTCCACTCCACGCGATCGTTCTGTATATCCTAGAACAAAGAAGTAAAAGAGGAGCACCGGCTTGAACAAACTCTGTATGGCTGCATATGCAGCGTGGTTGGTCCTTCCAGGGCAGTGAAGGCACTGTTGATCGGGGCCCTGGCATCATGGCAATGGCATCATTGACTTTGATAAATTGGTGCAGCCTGTTCAGCGCTAAATAAAGTTGGTACCGACGTCACGCCAAAAAAAAAAAAAAAAAAAAAAATAATAATAATAATAATAATAATAATAATTAGAAGAATTAAGAAAAGACAGAAAATCGACACAAAAAGTGGAGACACAAACGAGGGCAGAGAATGCCAACTCTTACAAGCACATTGGCAGACGCGCAAACAAACCCAATATTTTTTCTTGATCGTTTATACCAGCCAAGAGAGAGAGGTTTCATCCAAGTCTGTTGACCTCGACTCGATTATTTTATCAATCATATCTCAACCTTGCATTCCGTACGCAGCACGTTCTCCAGTGTTGGTTCATTTACACTGTTTTGTCCTGTCGCTTCCGCGTCTTGGTCGACGAAGTGTTTGTAATTCAACTTTGTCGATCTTCTGTGGCCCTCGACTTTTCCGTCTCCTCGTCTTTTTCTATTTTGGCATATCTGTTCTAGGCTTTTCGGACGGTCTAGAACAAATGGAGGAGGCGGACTGAAATGAACAAACCGGTTTTATTTTATATTTTCTTTTCTTTTCGAATGAAGCTTTTGGCAGCTGTTTCACAATCATCTTCCACCGTTCGTTTTTCATTTCTGCTATCCCTTGCATCCGAACGTTGACAAACTCTCACCGGTTGTTCCTCGTTGGAAACCTTCATCGCGTTTTTGCCACACATGTTCACCGAGCGGCAGGTTCCAGGTCCCAGGCCACTATCACTGGAATGTGTACCGCTGAGATGCGGGCCGGATCTCACTCGTAATGCCTCTCCGGATGTTTTCGAACGTGCGACGTATTCGTCGTTATAGAGTCCCGCCTTTTCTTGTCGTCGCACTACATTGCTTGTATTTGATTTCTTGCATTTTTCCACATGCACTGCCCTAGCCCAATCAAGGCGAAGCCGTGATGAAAAGAAACGAGCAAGGCGAAAGGAGCCACGAAATGGAAATCGAGGGCGGGCGAACGTAATCAAAACGGCCACGGCCTGGTTTGGAGACGTGCAATAACCGGACTGTTGTTGTAGCCCGGAGATCTCAGATGGTGGTCACGATTGTCTTTGGCCTGTGAAAGGCTCGTAATAGTGGTCGGCGGTGCATTTGGTCCATTGTTTCCTTCATTGTCTCCTTGCCTTGGGGTGGATGTATGAGTGTAAAAAGGGCAGTGGACTTTTCAGAAAACACACCAAAAATATACTCCGTTTTCTTCGTACGTCGCTCATACTCAGCGTGATACAAATGGCGGTGTAAGGGCCCGACTTCTCGCCAACCTCGTTTGGGCATCGGGCGTGTGGGGGCAAGTCGCGGTGCGCCATCTCCATATAAACGAGGATCTGGGGGTGCTGGCTGAAGTATCATGGACCGTTTGACTTGGGAATTGGAGATTGTCTCTGTGCCATCAAAAAGAATACAGCCACAATATAAAACAAGGCGCTCCAAGACATGAGTACTAAACCCTGCTGCAATACGGAGTATATGACGCCCACCTGGTTTGAGACAGTATCTGCAAGAAAATCTTCCTGCTACTGATTCCGCGCCATCAGAGTACTGACGTATCGTTGTTGTGGCTTTGTTGGACGACTGGTTTTATTGGTCTTTCATAGAGCGTCGTAGTTTCTTGTAAGTCATCCTTCCTGCCATTTTTACGTGCGTGCCGCACGATCTCCGACTTCCGACCTCCCATGGCGGCGCAACTTGCGTCCGCAGCTATTTGGGGTGGTGTTAAACGAGACATGCGCTTCGCGGACGGTTCGTTGGGTAGACGCAACGGACAAAGAAAAAAAGAGTGAGCAACCAAGTCAAGGATAGAAAGGGCGGGCGATTGGCGGTGTGCCGACGTAGGTCTGTTGGAGGCTGTTGGATGCTATTGAGAACACTCGAAAAAGAAGTTAATAGACGAGTGAAATGCCTCATCCGGCGTGCTGGGCCCCCCATGCTGCCTCGCTTGTAATCATGATGGCCGGCCGGCAAAAATGTCTGTTGGCCGCTCTAGTATTCTGTATCGGATTGTGGTGAGTACCACCGTGTGTTGGAGGTAAGATTACTTACTCCGCGGAAACGGGTTTGCGGCAGTTGCTGGTTCACTGTGGGCGGCTCTCTTCTGCCCATGTGTCTGTTGGCGCTAAAACCGAGACGGCGACAATGATTTGCACACTATTCGTCGTAATACGTGGTAGGTCTCCCGAGTCAGTTGTATTGAATACGTCGAGTGAAGTGACGATTGTACGGATCTGTTGCCCAAATGGGACAAGGCAGCCAACGGACATGTGTTCGATCGGGACGGGATATCGGACAAATCGGAAGTATTGATCCATTTGCACAGTCGCAACAAATGGACAACACATAACATCGAACATGAAGTTTCCAGTGCCAATCCAGGGCACAAAGCGCATCTCAACCAACAGGACAAAAGGGAAGGGAAGTAATCGCGCTGGATGGATGCATTGAGTGTATCGTCAATGAAATTGGTGCTAGGGGTTGGCTCGATTGCGATGGAGGGCATGTAATCCACCTGTCTGTCGTTTCTCTTTTTGATATCGCTTGCGTTTGTGTTGCCATAGGCCTTGGCGCAGCCTAGCCAACTTCATCATGCCCAACAGTCAAATCGCCCTCAATAAGTGGGTTAAGAGTGAGCCGATGCTTCGGCTCCGAACCATCGTGATCTATTTTCGATGGGCTCGGGTATGTTTCTCTTGGCCTGGATTTTTTCCACATCTTGTCCGTGCGGTTTTTGAATCACCCCTGTCTCTTGCCTCTCAGCGTTCATCTATGCGAATCTCGCTTTCGCGCTTTTCATGCAGTGCTTTGGCTTCGTGAGAATTGGTGGCCATTGGTGGCCTCTGGCGACCGTTGGCGCTCAACGCAAGTATTTCTATGGTTTCTCCGATTTTCTTTACCGCAAGATGCTATTTTGCTGAGCGTGGTGACAAGCAAGACAAGCCAGCCCCTCCAGTCTTAGTTCTAGCTTCTGCTGCATGTCTGAGACAAGGTGGACTGTCCGGGAGAAAATGGAACACATGAGGTCAAGGGATGCAGAGAGCACCCGTAGACACAGAAAACAAGAATGGAACTGGGAAGCAACAACAGAAACAAACAGAGCGTGGTACTTTCACGGTGGTAGGGAACCTCGGAACGAGGATAGCAAACTCGACCGGCTTCCGTGGCGTGGACGAGTGGCTTTTGAAGCCACTAGTGGAAAGGTTCTGTTGTAGGCGACAAAGCCAGCGAATCGTCGATGCTCTGCAGGTCGGCGAGGATGACGCAGTACTCCTTTTTTCCACAGGTCAAAACACGTACATGTATTTCCAGGCATGGAGTGGAGATTTGCAGGCACATATCCTCACGACGTACGATTAGTAGGACCGCACATATCTTGTCTTGCATTGTCCGTCGTTCGTCGACATGAAGACAGTAACGGTTCCAAACAGTGGAGTAAACTTTCTGCCTTGCTCGGCTCTGAAACGAACTGCTGATCTGCGATTGGGTCAGTGCATGGCTGGCGAGGCGGGTGGGAGACCGCTTCCACGACCCGAAGCACGAGGCAAAAGCAGCCTAAGCAGACGAGCGACTGTTGATCGCCCGTGATTAACCCGGGGAGTCGTGGCGTCTCGTGATAGTAGAAGAAGCGGGCTCGTTAGGTGTACAT